GGGAAAACATTTCGTGAGTTGTCTGACAAAGAGAGAGAGCAAGTTGCAAAAAGGATATCGGTAGGGTGTTGATGAAACGAGATGTATATGACTATCTTTTATTGCTTTTCTTATTGCTGATCACATAGCGAATAACGAGTATTGTGTGAATGATGTACAGGTTATGGGAAGGTCGTCGCCTAGCGACAAGCTTTTGCTCGTGCAAACATTGCGTAAACTAGGGGACGTTGTTGCTGTAACTGGAGATGGAACCAATGATGCTCCTGCATTGCACGAGGTTTGATATCCTTACCATATTTATCATATATAGGACACACTTCTTAATGTCCCATGTTATTGTATTCGGCACTACTATAATTTTGAAAGCTGGGTCTAAAAAGCCCGAAATACTATCCCTTGTACCAGGGGTGAATCCAACGTTTTGAGTGAGCATGGGCGGTGATTGACCGTTTTCATCGGTCGCAATAAAATATTTAAAATTAAATATAACAATTATTTTGCTAAAAATGAAGATATATTAATTTTGTGATAAATTTAACAAATTTTATACTGTCCCAGTGGTCAAGCTTTGCATATTCCAAAAGAAGAGAAAAGTTCGAATTGTTTTAATTGCATTAAATTTTTAAAGGACATATAAAATTTTGTTACATTGAGTGCCATGACCTGCATGGTGCCATAGTGGTCAAGTCCTTATATAATATAAATTATTTAGCTGTTGCCAACAAAAAAAAAAAAATTGTTCCCGACGGATCTAGCTAGGGTGGCCGCCAGTACCTACATCCGCCACTGCCTAGTACATTTTAGATTCCTGCATCTTTAGGAAAATAGAATATCCCATGTAGCTATTTCAATGTCCGAGTCTTAAGACCAAGAACAGAACTGCTGAACCATGTGGAATCATATTATTTAAATGTTATGACATATTAACAAAGAGACCATTAATAAAGTGCACAACCCAATGTAATCCTAATAAAGGAAAAGACAAAACTACCCTTAACAAATAAATTAAATGACAATAACGACGTAGGATGCTATGAAACAATTATAAGAGAGAGAAAAATGAAGAGAAGAACATAAAGAGAGAGGGGAGGGGGCAAGAAGAGAAGAATTGAGGGTAAAGAAAATTATCAATTTATCATATCAAAGTTGTTTTATTACAAAGCATAAGACCCCTTTAGGGTTTCAATGATTCTATTTCAAGTAGAAAATTTATAAAGAAATCTATTAAATCAAATCCTAATTATATTTCCTAATGCACGTATCAAAATTGGAAACTAAATATCATAACTTCCCTTCTAATATTCCATCATTTCTCTTTGACTAAGAGAATTCGAATTCGACGAGATAGAAGTAACTTATTAATCAAGGAGGGTGATCTTTCTTTCTGACCAGATAACAGAACCAAGCATGTGACAACTATTGAATCTGAATATCAATCATAAGTATTTGAGCTAACCAAGAAGGACGATCTTTCCTTTTAACCAAATATTGATGAGGAACCCCATTAAGCAACAACTTGTGCATTTATGCAAAGAAATAACCACGGAATTCACATGAGAAGCACGATGCATTAGAACAATAGACTAGGCTGCAGAAATAAATAAGAAGAGAAGAATTGAGACAAAGAAAATTATCAATTTATCATATCAAAGTTGTTTTATTACAAAGCATAAGACCCCTTTATATAGGGTTTCAGTGATTCTATTTTAAGTAGAAAATACATAACGAAAGCTATTAAATCAAATCCTAATTATATTTCCCAAAGTATGTATCAAAATTGGAAACTAAATCCCTTCTAATATTCTATAATTTCTTTTTGACTAAGAGAACTCGATTTTGACGAGATAGAATGTAACTTTTTAACCGAGGGGGGTGACCTTTCTTTCTAACCAGATAACAGAACCAAGCATGTGACGACTACTGAATCTGAATGTCAATCCTAAGTATTTGAGCTAACCAAGGACGATCTTTTCTTTTAACCAAATATTGACAAGGAACCTTATTAAGCGACAACTTGTGCATCTTATTCAAAGAAACAGCCACGGAATTCACATTAGAAGCACGATGCACTAGAACAATAGACTAGTCTACAAAAATCAATGTTTTGAAAATCGAACCGAAAAAGTTAAAGGGTCAAGGGTTGAATGGTTGAACCGGGGTTTACCAGAAATAAAAATAATTATTAAATAAATAGATTTATATACTACATTAAAAGATTATTATTTAAAATAACTATCAATTATTTAACGTTTTCTTATGTAAATAACAATTTATATCAAGTGGTAAAATAAAATGGACAAAAACAGTTTTTACAACTCATGTATCAAAAACCCTACTATCAATAAAAAACCATTCCAATTCCAAACTTATTGTAGCCCACCACTCCAATAATCCTCAAAACTTACGATCTAGATCTATCAAAGTCATCACCCACCTCACCGCCTTTCTAGTTTTTGTAAATTCTTTTAGACTAAATGCCTTGCCCGTATTAGGTCTCTTCCATTAAATAGCAATATTACATACATCTTAAATATGGAAATTATAATTACAATATTTTAAAATCAATCATATATGTATAATTATGGTATAATAATATTTGGTTGCCAAGGGTAATCGTTTTCACTCTCCACTGACATCCCCCCTCAAATTGATGCTGGACAATCAAAAAGCATCAATTTGTTGACAAGGAATTGATGTCGTTGTCTCGTCATCGCCTTAGTGAACACATCAGTAATTTGAACATCAGTAGTGATGTGCGGAAGGAAAATGATGCAACCATCATAAACCTCATGGATCGAGTGACAATCCACTTCAATGTGTTTAGTGTGCTAATGAAACACAGGATTAGCAGCAATTTGAATGACACTAATGTTATCAGCATGAAGAGGAGTAGGTTCAAGCGAAGGGCACCCAAGCTGCGCTAGAACACCTCGTAGCCAAACAATCTCAAAACAGACAGAAGACATGACACGATACTCAGATTCAGGAGAAGATTTAGAGATACGTTCCTGTTTCTTACTTCGCCAAGAAATAAGTGCACCTCCAAGAAACTTACACTAACCTGTAATAGAGCGACAAGTATCCGCACAACCAGCCCAATCCGCATCAGTATATCCTACCAAATTTAGAGAAGAATTGACAGGAAAGAAAAGTTCCCTATCAAGTGTACCCAATAAATATCGAATAGTGCGACGTAATTGTAGCCAAGTGGAGATGTCGTGGAGCATGCATAAATTGAGATACTTGTTGTATGGCAAAAGAAATATCAAGCCGAGTAATAATGAGATAATTCAAACTACCCACTTGTTGACGATACATAGAAGGATCATGAAGAAGATCACCCTCTTCCTTACTATGCTTCACATTTACTTTCAAAGGAGTATCAACTGAGTGACCATCCTGAAATCCAGCTAAATTAATCAACTCCTTCGTATACTTGTGTTGGTGTAAATAAAGTCCAGCTGGACTTGAAAGCACCTCAAGACCTAAGAAAAACTGCAAGGGACCCAAATCCTTCATATGAAAAGAATCTTCAATCGATTTTGAAAATGAGACATCAATCTAGAGTCAGTTCCGGTAATAACAATGTCATCCATAGACCAGAAGAAGCACAATACTCGCACTAGTGTTAGAGATGAAGAGAGACAAATCATATTTGCTCTGGGTAAATGAGAAACCCAAAAGACTAGAGCGAAACTTGTCAAACTAAGCACAAGGAGCCTGCTTCAATCCATACAATGGGCATTTAAGGTTACACACATCAGAAGATGGCAATGAAAAGAGGCCCGTAGGAGGTGTCATATAAATTTCTTCTCTAAGGTCGTCATGTAAGAAATCATGACATCCATCTATTGCAAAGACCATCCCTTGGAGGTAGCTATAGCCATTACAGTTTGAATCGTTGTCATTTTAGCAACTGGAGCAAAGGTCTCCTCATAGTCTACGCCATATTCTTGACGATTTTCAAGAGCCACCAATCAATCTTTATAACGTTCAATCGATCCATCAGAGCGGAACTTAATAGAGTAGACCCATTTACAATAGGTCTAATCACAGGAGAACAAGAAACAATATCCCATGTATGGTTCTCTTGAAGAGCTTGAAGTTCTTCTTGCATAGCTTTCTCCCAACATGACTAGGTAACAACCTGAGAATAAAAAGGAGGAACTTTGATATGAGATAAAGTTGTAGAGTAACCATATCAATCTGGAGGTCGAGTACTGCGATTAGATCGTCGAAGAACAGTAGAGTTTGGAACGGGATCAAGTCGGGAAGGGACAATGAGTCTGGGGCCGTCGTCTTTGATATACCATGCCTGGTTTAAAACGTTCAGTGGAGCAAGAGTTATCCTCAAAGGTAATGAGTGGAGCTAAATCAGAAGAGTCCACAACACTTTGCTGGAAGTAATACTAATTCTCAAAGAAAATAACATTCCGAGATATATGGAAGCGACGCGCATCACGATTATAACAAACAAAACCCTTTTGAGCAATACTGTAACCCATAAAAGCACATTGTACATATTGAGCACCGAGCTTATGACGTTCATGAGGAGGCAAATGAACAAAGCAAACATGTCCAAAAGCATGTAACATGTCATAACTAGGATCTGTACAGACGAAAATGAGGCGAGTCAAAGTTCAAATGCTGAGTGGGAAGTCGATTAATTAGGTGTACGGCTGTGGAGAGGGCTTCGACCCAAAATCTATGTGGGACTGAAGATTCCAAAAGCAACACTTGAACGTCTAGCAAGTGACGATTCTTTCTTTCAGTTATCCCATTCTGCTGAGGAGTATATGGACAAGAGCGTTGGGAGAGAATACCCTTTTGTTGCAAGAAAGTCAGACAATCATGAGACATATATTCTTCTCCGTAGTCCGACCTTAGAATCTGAATGCTAGTAGAGAATTGTGTCTCGGTGTAGGCTACGAATGTCCCAAGAACGGTACTCACTTCAATTTTAGAACGAAGAAAATATATCCAAGTGTAACGACTATAATCATCAATAAAGGTCACAAAATATTTATAATGTGCATATGAGGTGACAGGTGTCATACCCCAAATGTCACTATGAATCATTTTAAAGCATTTATTAGCACAACTGCCATGAGTGGGAAACGAAATAGTTTTACTTTTCCCAAGCTTACAAGTATCACAATCAAACTTCAGATTTGAGGACTGAGATTGAGCTTTATTACCTAAAAAACCACATTTCAATAAATAAGACAAAATTAAAGTGTTTGGATGCCTAATCTTTTATGCCAAATTTCATGCTTT